AATGTGTTTGCTTCATATTATACTTTCATCTCAAAACAGAAAAAAAATAGAAGGAACCTCTCTTGTTTTTGCTGGTCACAGAGGGGCCAGTCAATATATGTAGTCTTTGTACCTGACTGACTCACTGACTTATGGAATGTCTAATTGAATGTCTCACTGACTGACTCATACTTAATAATTGCACTTGTTCAAGTCTCCAACTGACTTACTCCCCTTGTGAATGCGACTGTTCACCTATCTCACTGACTGACTCTCACTTGTGAATTAGACTGTTTACCTATTTCACTAACTGACGTGTGTTACTTGATAGTTAGACTTGTTACCTATCTCACTGACTGACTGACTGTCAGTTCTGAATTAGACTGGTTACCTCTTTTCAACACGTAGACCTCTACTGTTTATTGTACGAACATTTTAGCAATTCTATATCAGTTGAATAGGTTTTGTGCCCTCTGTGACCAGCTTTACAAGGCCTGTCTTGTCTAGTTTGAATCATATTCAAAAAAGCTATTGAAACTAAAAAAAACAGACATGGCAAAGTATACCATGGTTAGAAAGCAAATCACATTTTGATATTTGTGTATTTCCCTTCCTAACTTAACTCTGCTTTTGTGTGTTCTTGCTGTTCCACATGATTTTCTTTTGTTTGACGTTAAGTCAAATATGGCATATGTTTACAAGAGCAGAAAGTTCTTTCATTAAACATCTTCTAAATACTAGTTTTGCGATTATTGAGTTGAATTTACTTGCAACTGAAGCTACATATACTTCATACCCCATGTGCAATGCTTCCCAGTTTGAGAGATGCATTGTACAATGCTTAGAGATCAAAGTACATTGCAACTGAATTTGATGCAGCAAATTTTTGGGGTTTTATTGAATATTTATTCTAGAGATTAAAATTTCTGTAGCCATTAATACATTGAATCACAATCAACTCTGAGTATGCATTGTTGGCTGCTGTCCTGAAGCCAGAGAAAGTCATTCTTCCTGCAGCGAACATTTCAAATATCACTTTTATTTTTGTGCCATTTAAATATTTATATAGTAATGGATGGCTTTGAGGGGGATTCAAGAATATATTGCACCAGCTGTAACAATATTGCCTGAGTGGAAGACAAGTACAAAATTGTCATAGCGAGTGCAATATATTCTTGTGTCCTCCGAAAATATATAGCCATCCAATATTATTATTATGTATATCGGGCTGACCTGTTTTCGCAAAAAATACATTTCAGGATACTGTCTTCATTTCTCCTGTTTTGTCAAATTGTTTTTCACTTACCGAAACAACTTTCACGCCGCATGAAGCTGCCATTGCGGTTGTTGACTGGCTGTCAACTGAGTTTCTCTGCTCTTGATCTTTCGGGAACCAGCGAAAATGCCCGGATTAGGGCAATATCAAAAGTAACATTGTCTTCATACGGGGTACTTTTACTGACATAATATTGCTATCATCCAGGTCCTTTTTTTCTGATAGCATACAATACACTGATTTATTTTTACCGCTGGAAAGCCTGATATAAATAGTAATGTTTAATATTCATTTTCCATGCTCTTGTTTATTTTCTTCCAAGAATGTTACAATAACTTTAATTTGTTACGTACCATGCATTTATCTTGTTTCATTTCATGTGTTTGTTTTAATATTCATGCGTAAAATAGCTATTTTTGACAGTTATTGATGTCTTTTCATATTCTCCATTAATCAATATGTAGTTTGAGTGAATTTGAGATGCTATCCATTTGTTTTATTTGTCCTGTACATAATTATGTTTGCCTCTTTAATTACTCAAAATACAGGATGAGTAAAACAAAAGGGGAACCCAAACCTTAAGAAATCTATTTCATATTTACAAAAAATGTGTAGCACCAAAAATAAATACGAATGGTAAGTCAATTTAATAATCTTGTTTTACATGAAAACTCACTTTAATTGCTCAATTTGTTCAAATTATATCACCATTTAAATGAAATGACCCTAAAATCTGTTTTGTCCAAAAATTCAATTCAAATTCAAGAATTGTCATTACAATTGTCGGCAAACATCAGGAGCGATAAAATCCTTAGTTTAAAAGTTTAAAATATTCTACGAAGTCCTTTTGAAGGCCTGTGGATTTTATAAATCACGTTGTTAGTCAAAGCAGGGCTGTTAATAAAGATATAATGTACTACAGTTATAACTATTTTTGAAACAAATATTCTGTGACATTTTCTTTGTTGTTCCAAACAGTTAGAACACACAATAAATTGCTGTTTTTGGACAAACTGATTTTAGGGGCATTTCATTTAAATGGTGATATAATTTGAACAGCTTGAAGTTGAAGTATTTTTTTCATCTTGAAGTAGTTTATTAAATTGACTTACCATTCATAATTAGTTTTGATGGTACATTTTTTTTAAAATATGAAATATGAAATATACATCTTTGGGTTTGGGTTAAATTTTTTGACTTGCCCTGTAAGATCACGCCTCATATTAATAATAATATGTGTATATAATATCATATATCAGAAAAACATGTTAAATTACTATAATATGTATGCATTTTGCCATCTCATTTTTCTTTCTTTGGCCATATTTATATTTTCATTTTCATTCCAGATTTACATTTTGTATTTCAACATAAATATTCAGAAATTCTTGCCTTGAATTTTGTCATTTATTAAGGCAACATTTCTTTAATTTTCATATGTCTTTAGCAAAATCATTTTCCATTATTGTCATTTAATAATTCATGCTTGATTTCACATTTCATTTGAATATCTCCCATAAACCCCTAGATACATACCTTTTAATTGACTCAAATCAGCCAAATTGAAAGATTGTGCATTCCGACATAAAATGTGACATAAAATGCATCTATTCTGAATCTACATTCACATGTGCATCACTATTAAGCACAATTAGGTGTCTGAATTTGGCTGATTTGTGACGGTTACCATATTGTCTTTCTCATTCATATTTTGTTTTATATTGGTCTACTTAATAGTGGGTCCACATAAATATTTCTTGTAATTGTCCTCCACACTTTTCTTTAATATGAAGGACTTGGTGAGCTGAGTAACAAAATTAAAACTTAAAAAAATCTATGGCCCGTTGACATAGTATTTTTAGCAAGTTTTTGGGACTCAAAATCTATTTTTAGCTTATTTTAAAAATCGGCCAGCCAAAATGCAAAGTTATATCACAAAATCAACCATATCGTTACAAAGTATCATCCTTGCCCTTATTTGAGAAAAAATATAATGTTTAAATGTCACCCTTTTGCTTTTTTTGCACATTCGTTACAGCAGGTTTTTAGAACTTGCAAAATTGTTATTTTTACCCTAGATTTGTCCCTCAAAAAGTCAACTTGCCAGGGGTCTCAGAATATTTTCCTTTTGGATTTAATTAGAGTCAACAGTAGTCTTTCCATATCTGGACAATTTTTGGGGATTGTATCCTATTTATAGAGTATCCTATTGTATCATTTTCAAAAAAAAAAGGAAAACAGGAAAAGTGAAGTTTGAGGTGTTCCTTCCGTTTGAAGTAATAATACCCCAAAAATAATCCTTTTATGATTCTGGCACCTTTTTCAAATCATAAGAGTGAGTTGTAGTCCTGTGAATAACTCCTACAGAATAAGCAGCATTTTTGGCAGCAAAATCTAAGTTTTAAACCCCCCCAGCATTTATAACATTCCATTTTCTGATAACATTTTGTTTAGTGGCATGAAAACAGATGAATTTCAGCTTCTTGGCCCAAATTTTAGTATGCGAATAGTTATGGTGCTGAATTATGCTGTGTGGACCCCAACCACATATGTAAAAATCATTTCCATAATCCATACTTAGATTTTGGAAATGACAAATAAATATGAGATATGTTTAGAATGCAGGCTGCATCAGGTGTTAAACCCAGTTTTCAACTTTTTGTCCCTAATTTACAATGCGGAAAGATATTTTGCTGAAATATGCAGTGTAATGTAAAATGGCCTGTTACCGTGGCAACGACCATAGAAAAAAAGATTACGTTCTATTTTGGTTACATGCTCACCAGGTCCTTTCATATTAAAAACATGCCGAGGACACTTGTATGAAATATTTACGTGGACCCATTCTTAATTGTGTATAAGTTATTATTACAGTGCAAGTATTAATGTACAGAGCAACTGTTTAAAAAAAAGGAGTAGGTAATCACAAATTTTATGTATTCAAAACAAGCCAAATTCTTTAACAACCTAAGATAATTCGGGGAATTTGTGGGAGAAGAGTAACTGTTATGCTAACACAAATATGTGACTGTGAACGTTTAGCATTGAGTGGCATTAAACTGTTGAAAGATTAAGACAGTGAAATCCAATTATCAGATAGCTGACATTTTTTGACTAATTGCATTCTTTGGAAATGCCAGGTTTTAAAAATAAATTATTAGAAAAACTACATATTAAGGAAGAATATTTTTTTCCTGTTTCTGTTCATGTCGATAAAGTGCCACCACCAGCAACTTACACCAGAAAAAAATTCAAGGCACAGTGAACAAAAAATATAAGACCATATCAATGTCTCAGTGTGTAAAAGCTTTTGTCAGACTCACACAGACAAACTTACCTGAACTGAACGTCATACGCAAGATTGTCAAGTTAAAATGAAAGAACAGCTCAGAACTGCAGTCTTTTGGGGGTTCAAAATAGTTTGCATGCAGGTATGTATAAATCGTCCAAATGATTAATGTCATTTTCTTATATTTATCTACATTATTGAGCAATGATATTCCTCGTTAACATCATTCATGATTCATTTGCCATTGTAACTCATCGAATTGATTCAACTTTCAAATGATGGCTCAAAAAGTTCATAGTAAACCATTTAATCAGTTACATTCCAATCATTACTAATTAACTAAACTAAGAAAATCAATTTGGTTCATAATCTTCTGTCATAATTGTAATAATTTTTTTAAAGTACAAGGTGTCAAAAGCTGAAATTATTGTTATATTTATTTATACTTTTCAACAGCTCCCCAGACAAAAGCTGATCAAACCACAAGCACTGAGGCAACTACTATGACTGAAAGTACCACTGTTGCTGAGACAACTATTGCAGATGTAACGACCACTGAAGTGCAAAAAACCACCGTGGAGGTTACCACTGTCAGCGAAGTAACTGCTCTGCCCGAGTCCACAACTCCAGCACAGACAACATTTGATGCTGACACTACAGCTGTTGCTGTGACAACAATAACAAAGGGAACTACCTCGCCAGGCCAGACTAGCAGTGGTGAGTTTACCACAACAACAGGATTGACATCTGTTTCTGAGAGTACAACTTCAGAACAGACAACAGCGGTTGCTGATATGACTAGTGCTGAAACAACTGTTGTTGTCACTACACCTGTCGCAACAACCTCTCTTGAAAAATCAGTAACTACGTCTGCTGAAACCACGTTTGCTGAAAGTATCACTACAGAGCAGGGGGCAACAACAGCTGCACAGACATCAGCTGTTATTAGCACAACTGTGGGAATAACCTCTGACATTGAGACTACTTTGTCAGAAAGAAGTACAGAAGCTGTAACTCAAATAACATCAGAGACAACAATTCCAGAAATAGCCTCAACCTATAAAGCTACAACTGTGGCTGAAACTACAATTGTAGCAGAGACAACCACTCCAGTTGTGACTACACCTGTGGAAACTACTATTGCTGGAGGTACGACCACAGAGCAGGGAATAACCACAGCTGCGCAGACATCAGCTGGTGTGAGCACATCTCTTGGAATAACCACTGGTACTGAGGCTACTGTTGCAGAGAGCAGTACAGAGGCTTTATCCACCAGAACATCCCAGACAACTCCAGAGGTAGCCACAACCGGCAGAAGTACCACTGTGGCTGATGCTACTGTTGATGTCGAGACTACCACACAAGGTGTGGCTACATCTGTAGAAACAACTGTCTCTGAAGGTATCACAACCGATGAGGTAAGAACTACAGCTCCTCAGACATCAGCTGCTTTCAGCACATCTACCAAGACAACTACTGCGGGTGCTGAGACAACTGCAGCAGCTGGTACATCAACAGTGGCCGAGACAACTTCTGAGGATAAAGTCACCACACTCAGTGCCTCAACCGTGACTTGGATCACCATTGCAGCAGAGACAACTGCACAAACCTCTTCGCCTGCACGCAATACTGTAGACGAAGGGACTACAATAGGTCCCGCAACAACTACAGCTGCTCAAACATCTGCTGATAATGGCACAACTTCTGGTTTAACCACTGAAGAGGAGACAACTGTTCGAGACAGAACCACAGAAGCTGTTACAACCATGATCTCCCAAACAACTACTGCTGAGATAATCACTACTGCAGGAGTGACTACAAATTCTGTGGCCACCCCTGTTGCAGGCACAACAACTGGTGATGTGACATCAGCTGTCGAAAGCACAACTGGTAGAGCCACAACCACAGCTGAAGCTACAAGTACAGTTATTCAGACCACAGTATCTGAAGTAACTACAACTCCCGGTGTGACCACTGGTGCTGAGACCACTGCTGCAGAGCGAACTTCTGTTGAAATCACTTCAGCAGCCCAAATAACTACTGCTGAGATAATCACTGCTGCAGGAGTGACTTCAAGTTCTGTGACCACCCCTGTTGCAGAGACCACAACTGCTGATGTGACAGCTGTGGAAAGCACAACTGGTATAGCCACAAGCAAAGCTGAAGCTACAAGTACAGTTATTCAGACCACAATATCTGACGTAACTACAACTTCTGGTGTGACCACTGATGCTCAGACCACTGCTGCAGAGCCAACTACTGTTGAAATCACTACAGCAGCCCAAACAACTACTGCTGAGATAATCACTACTTCAGGAGTGACTACAGAGTCTGTGTCCACCCCTGCTGCAGACACAACTGCTGATGTGACTTCGGCTGTGGAAAGCACAACTGGTAGTGCCACAAGCAAAGCTGAAGTTACAAGTACAGTTGTTCCGATCACAGTATCTGAAGTAACCACAACTTCTGGTGTGACCACTGATGCTGAGACCACTGCTGGAGAGCCAACTACTGTTGAAATCACTTCAGCAGCCCAATCAACTACTGCTGAGATAATCACTACTGCAGGAGTGACTTCAAGTTCTGTGGCCACCCTTGTTGCAGAGACCACAACTGCTGATGTGACATCAGCTGTGGAAAGCACAACTGGTATAGCCACAAGCAAAGCTGAAGCTACAAGTACAGTTATTCAGACCACAATATCTGACGTAACTACAACTTCTGGTGTGACCACTGATGCTGAGACCACTGCTGCAGAGCCAACTACTGTTGAAATCACTACAGCAGCCCAAACAACTACTGCTGAGATAATCACTACTTCAGGAGTGACTACAGAGTCTGTGTCCACCCCTGCTGCAGACACAACTGCTGATGTGACTTCGGCTGTGGAAAGCACAACTGGTAGTGCCACAACCTCAGCTGAAGCTTCAAGTACAGTTGTTCAGACCACAGTATCTGACGTAACAACAACTCCTGGTGTGACCAGTGGTGCTGAGACCACTGCTGCAGAGCCAACTACTGTTGAAATCACTTCAGCAGCCCAAACAACTACTGCTGTTATAATCACTACTGCAGGAGTGACTACAGAGTCTGTGTCCAACCCTGCTGCAGACACAACAATTGTTGATGTGACATCAGCTGTGGAAAGCACAACTGGTAGAGCCACAACCACAGCTGAAGCTACAATTACAGGTGTTCAGACCACAGTATCTGAAGTAACTACAACTCAAGGTGTGACCACTGGTGCTGATGTGACTTCGGCTCTTGAAAGCACAACTGGTAGTGCCACAAGCAAAGCTGAAGCTACAAGTACAGGTGTTCAGACCACAGTATCTGAAATAACTACAACTCCTGGTGTGACCACTGGTGCTGAGACCACTGCTGCAGAGCCAACTACTGTTGAAATCACTTCAGCAGCCCAAACAACTACTGCTGGGATAATCACTACTGCAGGAGTGACTTCAAGTTCTGTGGCCACCCCTGTTGCAGAGACCACAACTGCTGATGTGACGTCAGCTGTGGAAAGTACAACTGGTAGAGCCACAACCACAGCTGAAGCTGCAAGTACAGTTATTCAGACCAAAATATCTGACGTAACTACAACTTCTGGTGTTACCACTGATACTCAGACCACTGCTGCAGAGCCAACTACTCTTGACATCACTTCAGCAGCCCAAACAACTAATGCTGAGATAATCACTACTGCAGGAGTGACTACAGAGTCTGTGTCCACCCCTGCTGCAGACACAACAACTGCTGATGTGACATCAGCTGTGGAAAGCACAACTGGTAGAGCCACAACCACAGCTGAAGCTACAAGTACAGGTGTTCAGACCACAGTATCTGAAGTAACCACAACTCAAGGTGTGACCACTGGTGCTGAGACCACTGCTGCAGAGCCAACTACTGTTGAAATCACTTCAGCAGCCCAAACAACTACTGCTGGGATAATCACTACTGCAGGAGTGACTTCAAGTTCTGTGGCCACCCCTGTTGCAGAGACCACAACTGCTGATTTGACGTCAGCTGTCGAAAGCAAAACTGGTAGAGCCACAACCACAGCTGAAGCTGCAAGTACAGTTATTCAGACCACAATATCTGACGTAACTACAACTTCTGGTGTGACCACTGATACTAAGACCACTGCTGCAGAGCCAACTACTCTTGACATCACTTCAGCAGCCCAAACAACTAATGCTGAGATAATCACTACTGCAGGAGCGACTACAGAGACTGTGTCCACCCCTGCTGCAGACACAACTGCAGATGTGACTTCGGCTGTGGAAAGCACAACTGGTAGTGCCACAAGCAAAGCTGAAGCTACAAGTACAGTTCAGACAACAGTATCTGAAGTAACTACAACTTCTGGTGTGACCACTGATGCTCAGACCACTGCTGCAGAGCCAACTACTGTTGAAATCACTTCAGCAGCCAAAACAACTACTGCTGAGATAATCACTACTGCAGGAGTGACTACAGAGTCTGTGTCCACCCCTGCTGCAGACACAACAACTGCTGATGTGACATCAGCTGTGGAAAGCACAACTGGTAGAGCCTCAACAACAGCTGAAGCTACAAGTACAGTTGTTCAGACCACAGTATCTGAAGTAACTACAACTCCTGGTGTGACCACTGGTGCTGAGACCACTGCTGCAGAGCCAACTACTGTTGAAATCACTTCAGCAGCCCAAACAACTACTGCTGGGATAATCACTACTGCAGGAGTGACTTCAAGTTCTGTGGCCACCAATGTTGCAGAGACCACAACTGCTGATGTGACGTCAGCTGTGGAAAGCACAACTGGTAGAGCTACAACCACAGCTGAAGCTGCAAGTACGGTTATTCAGACCACAGTATCTGACGTAACTACAACCTCTGGTGTGACCACTGATGCTCAGACCACTGCTGCAGAGCCAACTACTGTTGAAATCACTTCAGCAGCCCAAACAACTACTGCTGAGATAATCACTACTGCAGGAGTGACTTCAAGTTCTGTGGCCATCCCTGTTGCAGAGACCACAACTGCTGATGTGACGTCAGCTGTGGAAAGCACAACTGGTAGACCTACAACCACAGCTGAAGCTGCAAGTACGGTTATTCAGACCACAATATCTGACGTAAGTACAACTTCTGGTGTGACCACTGATGCTGAGACCACTGTTGCCGAGCCAACTACTGTTGAAATCACTTCAGCAGCCCAAACAACTACTGCTGAGATAATCACTACTTCAGGAGTGACTACAGAGTCTGTGTCCACCCCTGCTGCAGACACAACAACTGCTGATGTGACATCAGCTGTGGAAAGCACAACTGGTAGAGCCACAACCACAGCTGAAGCTACAAGTACAGTTGTTCATACCACAGTATCTGAAGTAACTACAACTCAAGGTGTGACCATTGGTGCTGATTTGACTTCGGCTGTGGAAAGCACAACTGGTAGTGCCACAAGCAAAGCTGAAGTTACAAGTACAGTTGTTCAGACCACAGTATCTGAAGTAACTACAACTTCTGGTGTGACCACTGATGCTGAGACCACTGCTGGAGAGCCAACTACTGTTGAAATCACTTCAGCAGCCCAATCAACTACTGCTGAGATAATCACTACTGCAGGAGTGACTTCAAGTTCTGTGGCCACCCCTGCTGCAGACACAACAACTGCTGATGTGACATCAGCTGTGGAAAGCACAACTGGTAGAGCCACAACCACAGCTGAAGCTACAAGTACAGTTGTTCAGACCACAGTATCTGAATTAACTACAACTCAAGGTGTGACCACTGGTGCTGATGTGACTTCGGCTGTGGAAAGCACAACTGGTAGTGCCACAAGCAAAGCTGAAGCTACAAGTACAGTTGTTCAGACCACAGTATCTGAAGTAACTACAACTTCTGGTGTGACAACTGATGCTAAGACCACTGTTGCAGAGCCAACTACTTTTGAAATCACTTCAGCAGCCCAAACAACCACTGCTGGGATAATCACTACTGCAGGAGTGACTTCAAGTTCTGTGGC